TTTTTTTTTTTACGTGTCTTAAGGTGGATGAAAGTTATCGGAGAAAGCCAATTGGAATTAGTCCTCTTTCTCACTCTTGCACGTAAATAACGCAGAAAATCGGACGCATGTGTCGCACACCTACACGTTAGTGGAAATGAGAGAAAGAAAAAAAGAAAAAAAAAGAGAGAGAGAGAGAGAGAGAGAGAGAGACGAGATGGGAAGAGTAGTGAAAGAGTGGAGAATGCAAGAAGAAGAAGAGGAGGAGGTAGGAGGTGGTGGAGAAAGGAAGAGAGTAACAGGAGGAGTATGGGAAGGGAAGGGAAGGGAAAGGAAGGAAAGGGGGGTGGTAGAGGGAGAAAATAAGTGCACTCGTGTGCGATGTGCAGCCGTAGACCGACCAGCTCACCGACGAGGAGAGAACCTTTACGTAACTTTGCAACGTTCCTCTTTCCGCGCCGCAAAACCCCAGGGCCGCTGCACTTATGTTAGTTTCATCGATATTTTCCCATAAACCCCCTCCTCCTCAACCTCCCCCCTCCTCTTCTATATAGGATATATTTTTAGTATAGTAATGTTCGGATCGAATAAAATCTTCTCTATACGTATCTCGTTTTCCAAGTTATGTATGTTAAGTTTTTATATTTATCGATGGAATATTTTCGAAAAAAAATTAAATAACTTTTCTTTTCTTCATTGTCCTATTTAATTTTATTTTTTTTTTTAAAATATTTTATGATTCAAATAGAGAGAGAAAATCATTATGGTATTTATATGCGTGTGTGTTTTGTATTTAAAAAGAAACAAAAATTATGATGATAGATGGAATTGGTTTAGAGATTTTGAAATTTACCGCCACAAAGTTTAATCCCTTCGAGTATCGACCAATCAATTTTGGTGGCGCGAAAATCAATCGCCATTTATACCACTGATCAATTAGAAATCCAAATGTTTTTATATATATATAATATGATTTAATCATTCGAATAATGTCACTTACGATGTTATTTATTTTTTGTAGAAAAAAAAAAAAGAAAAAGGAACGAATAATCGATTAGAAAAATTGTTTCCGTTTTGCTAATTAGAAAAATTTTATCAATCGAATTTAATTAAATAAAATTAACGTTTATTTATTTATAAACCCCCATCCGTCCCCGTTTCTACAATAATAAGATTCTCTCGTAAAAAGTATTAAAAAACATTAAACAAAAAGAAAAAGAAAAACAAAAAGAAGTAGAAGTAGAAGTAGAAGAAAAATGAATGCAAGTTTGTTACGGTAGACTGGTCGATAATATCGACGTCTCGGTGTCGTAATTTTATGATAAAAACGGGAAGAATGGAGTAAAACATGCGATCGGAAGAAATCGATGCTTCTATTCGATAAGATCGTTATTCGAGAATCAAACCGACGATCCCCGATTATTATTTTATATATTAGAAATATGTATAATAAGTAAATAAATGAAATCTGTATATAACTATATATTACGTGTACTATACTTAAATTAAAGACCGTAATATTATTTTAAGTGGCTTTTTCAAAGTAATTTCGTATTTACTTTCTTTTTCTTCTTTTTCCTCTTTCTCTATCGCAATTTTTGTTCGTATTAAATAATCCGAAATGTTTTCGACGATTAATAATTATCAAATTAGATGAACAAATTCGATTTATTCACAAAAAAAACCGTCAAAACTCAAGAAGATTCTAAACGAGATCGAAATTGTTTGATGTTAACGTGTCTAATGATATTTATGGTTTTTTAATTTTTAAACCTCCACCCACCACCCCAGAAAAAAAAGAAATAACGAAAATTACTTTTCGAACGATCGAATTGTTTTCTATTCTCCTCGTCAAGGCTCAAAACTTTTCAATCCAACCTTATTAGCGTATATTAAAATAACATATTTCTAATACACAAATTGTTCCAATTAAAAATATTATAATAAGCTGTTCAGAAATATAACAAGACTAGTGTCATATCGTATAATACATTCATTTACGTATAGATAAAATATAGAAAGAAGAAGGAAAAAAAAAAAAGAGAGAATTTGTAAAACGAGTCAAACTTATAAACTATCATCAAATATCATTAAAATAAATATATTCCTCCCATTAATATAAAAAAATTAATAAAATTGATACAAATGAGAAACAAGAAAAGAAAGAGAAAAAACACAGGCCACACAAACACACACACACATACACATTACTAATGTTTTTTGCGAGTATGTTTTCTGATAAAATTAAAAGTCAAAAAGTAAATGAAAAGAAGAAAAATAATCATTTAATAATAATTTTTTTTCGCAATAATTAGATGAGAAAACGACGATCATGTGGATAAAGACGATTACACGTTCGTATATTTATCCTTTGTGTGTAAACGCGCACACACACTTTAACATTGTAAAAATTGCACACAGCTCATAGCAATACTCGTTTTATTTATGACTACACGTCGTGTAATTACTTATCTTATCGGTATAGTCGTATAACTATCGTTAACGTCACGTAATTAGGTGTCAACGCGATCGCCGATTGCTACAATAAGAAATTTCTTACCTCCCACCCCCTCTTCCCCCTCTTCCCCCCCTTCCCCATCACCCCTTTCTCCATCCCTTTCCTCTTCTTCCCACATTCACCCTGTTCTCTTTCTCGTTAAATGCATTAACAAATTCCGATCAATGCATTAGTATCTTATTTGAAAATAAAACAACCTTTTATTTTATTTTTTTTTTTTTTTCAAGATTCTAAGAAAACGATATCGAGGAACCTGATTTCAATGTGTTACACGCGATAATAATTAATAATCAGTATTAATCTGGTATGTAAGATAGATATGTATACTTGTGTGTTAACAGGATCGGCGGAGGATGATTCGGAAAAAGGAAAAACTAGAGGATGTGGCAGAAAAGAAGTTTCCGATGTTTTAACGAAAATGCCGAAAATTCTTGGACCATTAGGAATGTTATACGAGTGTATGGAAACGAGAAAACGTATAAGGGTAGGTTTATTTCGTTTTACTATTACGTTTTCATATACATTTGTGTT